GTGAGAGTGTGTGTTTGTGTGGTGTGTGTGTGTGTGTGTGTGTGTGTGTGTGTGTGTGTTGTGTGTGTGTGTGTGTGTGTGTGTGGTGTGTGGTGGGTGTGTGTGGTGTGGTGTGTGTGTGGGAGCGAGAGAGAGCGAGAAGAGTGTGTGTTCTGGTCTGTGGTGTGTGTGTGTGTGAGAGAGAGAGATAGAAAGTGGAGAGAGAGAGAGAGAGAGTGTGTGTGTGTGTGTGTGTGGTGTGTGTATGTGTGTGTGGTGAGCGAGAAGGAGAGAGAGAAAGAGTGTGTGTGTCTGTGTGTCTGTGTGTGTGTGAGAGAGAGAGAATAAGAGTGAGAGAGAGAGAGAGTGTTTGTGGGGTGTGTGTGTGTGTGTGGGTGTGTGTGTGTGTGTGGTGTGTGGTGTGTGTGTGTGTGTGGTGTGTGTGGTGTGTGTGGTGTGGTGTGTGTGGTGAGCGAGAGAGAGAGAGAGTGTGTGTGTGTCTGTCTGTGTGTGTGAGAGAGAGAGATAGAGTGAGAGAGAGTGTGTGTGTGTGTGTGTGTGTGTGTGTGTGTGTGTGTGTGTGTGTGTGTGTGTGTGTGTGTGTGTGTGTGTGTGTGTGTGTGTGTGTGTGTGTGTGTGTGTGTGTGTGTGTGTCCAAATTTGATCTGTTAGAGCATTCCTTGAAGATAAATGGGTGAGGCTGTTTATTAAACACACTTATATCCTCTCAAACGGTAGTATAAGGCCTCCACGTTTCCTTGTGGTTCTGGTGGAAACACTAATGAAGTGAGACCTGAGGGTCCAGAACTCTGCCGCTGCCCACTCATTTCCGTCAAGCATTCCTAGTGAAAATGCACTTAAAGCGCTGACCTCTCCCCCCCCGCCCGCGAATGATAATTCCTCTCCTGGCAGCCATGTGATGAGTTACCTGTCATTTCAAAGAGTCAGTACACTTGTTTATGTTTTTGATCTGTATATAAATATGTGCCAGTGTATTACTTTATCGCTTTCTGAAACATTCCCATGTTGCTTGTGTAAAATGCCTGTGATGAACCACTAGAGTGAGAGGAGGCACAGAGTGACTGTAGACGGCGAGGGTCCGACCTGGCAGCAAGAAACAGTCGGTTAGACCCTGAGTTTCTCATCAGCTGTCTGTAGGAGGCTTAGCAAGTCTTCTCTTATAAAACTGGAACATTCTTTCTGAGAACACTTGGGGGGAAATCTAATTTCACTTTTGTGCTGCTTGCCCAATTATGTTTTGAAATGATTTGTTGTTCTATACAACATGCCATGCAGAGGTAATATATTTCTTTCATAGTAAGCATCTTAAAGCAGCATGCTTTGGAAAGAGAGAAGACTTCAATGACGAGGACTAACTGGTCAAATGTATGTGTGCCGGTTAAGTTTCCCACCTCTGATTAAGCGCAGGAGGGTGTGACTTTATATCAGAGCTATCATGGCTTCAGAGGACCCTACAACACTGTCTATGTGGAACTCATTGATTTGTCTTTATGAAGAAGTGCACAAAGAGATGGGTCATCATTACGTAAAGGATATAACAGTTTGTCATCAGGCAGTGATGAACAGATGCTGCTAAACGCAAAACCATTATATGAGCCAGTTCCATCCCAAACTGGGCAGAGAAGTCTGTCTGATATACATACACAACATTTGAAGAAGAGATCAATACCAATACATTGAACTAGTACAGTATCCCACAGCTGGAACTCTTCCTGGGCTTCCTCTCACGCACAAGCACTGATGTTGTAGGGGAGGATGTGAAGTAAGCATCTACAGGGGACTCGGTATGTTTGTGTTTGTGTTGATTGAATGTGGCTGTAAGCAGGTAAGAAAAAAAGAGGTTTCTTATACATGGTTACATTACATTCTCTGGCTGCGTGTCAATCACAGGACATTGAACTTTGTAGTGGAAAATATAGTCATTCTGTGAGTGTGTGTGTATGCCGTGTTCAGCTAATGCAGCCTCGTGTATCAGTGTTAAGAACCTGTCCAATACCTGTGTTAGAATTAAGATTTACTCTGTAATGAAAAGATGTGAAAGTAAAACAATGCCATATATCCAATATGACGCCTCCTGTCTTTGTGTGGTATTCCAGTACAGCACATGCACGTCGCGTATATGTTCAACCAATTAAATGGAAACACCAAACAATACTTTAATTCCGGCACAGTCTTCGAATTTTGCTGGAAAAAAGTCATGAAAAGTCCAACTTACGTAAAGGTAGATGTGTGTTGGAACCTCTTTGGCCTAGGCACTAATGGCAGTGAACAGTGATGGACAATGCTAAACATAATGTATGCTCTCGTATTCACATTTCTAGCTTTGTGTAACATTACTATAATAACCCCATAATGTCTTTGTGTAACATTACTAGAATAACCCCATAATGCCTTTGTGTAACATTACTATAATAACCCCATAATGTCTTTGTGTAACATTACTATAATATCCCCTTAATGTCTTTGTGTAACATTACTATAATATCCCTATAATGGCTTTGCCGAGACTGACAGTCATTCAAAAAGGTTGCTTTGCCTTTTTAGGTCAGCCTATGACTCAGTGGAACAACTATTCCTAAAAAAACTAAATCTTATAGAGGAATGTGCCAGAGATAGGCTCTGTCCAATGCTGCTGCATACAACACTTCATTATCAAACTAGTTTTTAAACAAATTGGTAGACTGATTAGCTTTCAACAAAAATGTTTGATCACTGCTTGCTTTGCCTGTGGGACAAGGTGCATCTTTAGACTCTTCTTCTGATCAAAATGGATCAATAGCCTAAAACGTATGCCTTAAGAATTAAAAGAGTATGTATGTTTAAAGAAAATCTAGAAAATTATTGGCATCAAAATGTAGTTAACGTAGCGACAGTGAAAGTAGTCATTGTGCAGATTGGTCCATTTCAGAATAATATATGATATGTTTTATAATGATTGATCATGAAAGTGTTCTCAAAGGTGCAGCTAGTTTGAATGACTTTGTATACTGCAGGGTAGCTTGTGAATTTACTCCAGGTGGAACTAAAGTCTGATTTAACACTTGATTAGATTTCACATCATTCATCCACATCTGTAAAGTAATTAAAGGTATTAAATACATGTAGTGGAGTAAAAGTACACCATTAACCTCTGAATTGTAGTGGAGTAGAAGTACAAAGTAGCATAGAATGGAAATACTCAAGGAATGTACAAGTACCTCAACATTGTACTTAAGTACAATACTTGAGTAAATGTACTTAGTCAGTCAATCTTTGATTTAGACGGTTTCTCCAACCTACGAGATAGAAAGAGATGAATGTCAGCTGGTTCTTGTGCCTCCTATTTGCCAAGATCTCATAACGCTCTACTTTTACTTTCTTGCAGGTCCATGTTGGAGAAGAGGATCACGTTCACCTGCGTGTTTGGGCAAAGCTCCCACATCAGGGATCAGGGACAGAACTGAGTGCCATTCAGCAATCAAAGAGCCACAGCGACCCTATTGAGTACTTCTAATAAGATCCTAAATAAAACAACGCATCAGTGCCTACGGCTGCTCTTATCACAGTTATAATCAAATACTCCTGGTTTAGTCTATAAAACAATGCAGTTCCCATTCCTCACCTTTTTTTAATCTTACAGAATAATACTGTATTAATCAGGATTACATGTAACTATTTTATATAAAGTGAATTAATAAATGGACCAGATTCTTTTCTGAAATGTCAACTGTTGTCTTTCTTTCTGTGGGATCTGAATTGTGAAATCTCTGCTGGGTTCCAGGTGTGTGTCTACAACTCTCAGGTATTGTGAATAAAAAAGGGTGGGGCAAAGACGCAATGAAAACAAACTGCAGTCCATTCATTACTGGATGATCTACCTTTTGAAGCTGCAGTTTGTTTGACGTATGATTAAAATGCTTTCTATGTAAACTGTAATCATTCCCACTGAACACGGAACAGTCTGGACATTAGTTCATGTTTATCATTTTAAATCTGTTTGACAAACATCAGATGTATTCAGTAACTGTGTGTCCTGATGATTTTGCATTTATACTTTAAGAAGATTGCCTTTTTCTTGGGATTTACTGCCAGTATAATGGCGTCAGTGTACACTGTGTATTATTTACTCCTAAAGTCCTCATCTCAAAGTTTACTGAAAGGAGGACAAGCAGAAACAGTTGACACTATCACAGGATTTGGAAAACAGTGAGTGGCAAAAGTAATAAACTGACATGTCAATAAGTGTTTGACCTCTGTACCCTACTGCTGTATACAGTACGGAAACATCTCTTCTAATATATCAAAAAGGTGTATAGGTTTTTAAATGGTTCTCATGAGGGTTCTTACAACGACAAACGCCATTGGACTCATTTGTTTACTTCCGGAACATAGTGACATCACTATGAAATACTCACACTCCTATTGGTTAGCGCTGCAACACATTGTATGTAATAGGCTAAGGGGCGGGACATCTCTAAGCGGTTGACCAATCACAACAGAGCCGGCCAGCTAACCAATCAGAGCAGAATGGGCTCTGGTTTCAGAGAGGGTGAAAAGAGGTGCTGCAGCACAGGCAGTATGAGAACAATAAAGAGCTTTTTGAACATTAAAGCATGGAGACATGTAGAGACACTACATACTGATATACACCTGAACATCACAACAAGTCCTCCAACTCATACGACCAAATGCATGGGCCGATTGTTCAGGCCCTTATTAAGACCAAATATGTTGTTTGTTCAAGCGCTTATATAGCGTCCTATAATTAGGTTTTAAAGTTTTCGCCCTCTAGTGCTCCCGTTTAATGCAAACGTTACAGATGGTCATTTATTCACAAATAACCCTCTCTGTAAAATCCTAAATTATAGGATAGTTTGGCCATTAAAACGCTTTTTGATTAGATTTCTAGCGAGAAGTATATTGTACTTTTAGAATCCACGTCCAGTCGATAGGTAGGATCTATAGTTTGATAGATATTACGAAGATGATTTGAGCAGCGCTGGATTTGAGGTATGCGGCAGCCTCCATGTAAAGTTACGGGTTGAAAACAGTATTTCCGGTCTCAACATTTTCATAATAAAACCAATGGTCAAATGATTTAACAGTGATAGTACTCATCAACTAAAAAACATCAGTTTATCCTTGTCAAATAATTATACGACATTTATTGGTTTAAATTGTGTACAATGCTTTTGTGTTTTTCCCATAGGTTTTTCTCTTTCGATTCTGAGAGACACCTTTCTTTTTTCAGAG